TATCAACAAGGCCAGGTCACATACCCCCAGAAATCTCACCTAATCTTTTTCTGAGACTTCCATCGAGAGAAATCTCTTTGCTTCTCACAGTAGTACATATTTATAGGAAAATATTAGTCTTATCTTTTTCTAAATCTCTTCCATCATAATCATGTGATTACTATCTAGATAAGTGATTGGTTCTTAACTAAATATGAGATAATCAGTGCAAGGGCAAATGAGCCAATAAGCATGCGCATACGAGCTCCATCTGATAAAGCAAGATGAGAAGGCCAATCTTATCTCTTAACCTCTATTTAAAAAGCTGTTAATCTAACTTTTCTGTAACCGTTTCAATTAACTTTTCAAGATTAAAGTAAAGTGAAGGAGTCCGCACTGTCACTCAGCCTCAGAGTCCAGAGGGGGGACTATAGAGAGCCAAAGAGATAGGGAGGCCTGGAACATGTGCATCCTTCTCAGTGGTGTACCAAGGGCGGGGCGGGGGTGCATGCTCCGCCCCGGGCACAGTTTGAGGAAAGCACTTGAAAGAGGCCCTTGAAGCGTCCCACCAAATCTCTTCTCTCTTATTCTTAAAATGCAGTTCTGGCTGCAGCCACTAGGGGTACAGGGAAGTCTGAGCAGAGCAAAAAGCACTCCCGGTCCCGGATCAGCTAAGCTTCCCTTTTCTCCAAGACTCAAGCAAACTTCCTTAACAGATCCTGCTGATCGCTGCTACCATGATTGCCAGCCTGCAGGTCATTTTCTATAAGAGTCTAGCCTTTCTCTCTCCCTTTCCTTACACCCAGCTCAGCCAGATCTTGCAATGCAGCAGTTAGGGTGTTGCAGCGAGAGGAAACCACCTTTCCCTCTCTTCATTTCTCTCCCTCTTGCCCACACATTTCTCATTCATTTCTGTCTCTCTTCACCTAATTTTTCTATGTGCCACCTCTTTTATTTTCACCACTTGGTCTCAAGACCTTCTCACTCCTATCCTGCTTGGTGACAGAATGTATTTAAGAGTAGTATCGTAGCAAACCTTTGTTAACATTATCACCAGAAGGCAGTGGGTTTGCTGGGCTCTGTACATTGCCCCCCCACAGTCACTTGGGCTGTGATTCTGTGCTTGACATCAGCTGGCATTGCCACAACAGCACTGTGTTCTGCTGGGCACTGTACATTGCCCTAGTTCTGCTGGGCTTCCAACTCGCCTCCCCTGCTTGGAATGTGTTTCTATGCTTGACATCAGCTGGCATTGTCACAATGGCACCGGGTTCTGCTAGGCACTCTGATTGCACTGGTACTGCTGGGCTTGCAAAGAAATCCCCACCCCCGCTTCAGTTTCTACTGCAGAAATTCTCTGGTTTGACTTATTCCTTAGGAAACTATCGAGGATGGGGGCACCTTCTCTGGGGGGGGGGTTAGTGTGATCCTTAACATCCAGTCTGGTGAAACTTGCGATCACTATTTTGTGATGCTTTGGCTAGTGTTGGCTTTTAAAAGTTAGTACAAAGGTAGACTCCTAGCTCTCAAAAATGCCTTGCAGATGTTTGGGATGTTCAGCTTTTGGTCTTCAAAATGGCAAATAGCAGCCCTTCCAAGTGCCTGCTCAGAACACGAATGGTGCGATGGAATTTAATTTATGTATGTATTTATTTATTTATTGCTCTCAAGTCACAGCCGACTCATGGTGACCCTGTAAGGTTTTCAAGGCAAGAGAAGTCTGAAGGTGGTTTGCCATTGTCTGCCACCACGTCGGCCCTGCATAGCTTCTGAGATCGGATGAGACCGGGCTATCATAAGAACATAAGAGACGCCAATGTTGGATCAGGCCAAAGGCCCATCCAGTCCAACACTCTGTCACACAGTGGCCAGAAATACCAGTGTCATCAGGAGGTCCACCAGTGGGGCCAGGACACTAGAAGCCCTCCCACTGTTGACCCCCCCCCCAAGCACCAAGAAGACAGAGCATCAAGCGGCTATCCAGGTCAGGGCTAGACTGAGAGTCATGTGACTGCACCAAGGTCACCCAGCAAGCTTCTGTGGCATGAGTGGGGATTCAAACCTGGATTTCCCAGATCCCAGTACAACACTTTAACCACTACACCACGCTGGCTCTCGTGATAGGACAGCACGTTGGAATTTGAATCTTTTATATTGGCATGATTATATATACCAAATTAGGAGGAGGAGGAGAGGAGGAGGAGGAGATTGGATTTATACCCCGCCCTTCACTTGGAGTCTCAGAGCGGCTTACAAACTCCTTTCCCTTCCCCTCCCCACAACAGACACCCTGTGAAGTAGGTGTGACTGAGAGAGCTCTGACAGAAACGGCTCTTTTTCAAGGACAGCTGACAGAACTATGGCTTGCCCAAGGTCATCCAGCAGGTGCATGTGGAAAAGTGGGGAATCAAACCCGGTTCTCCCAGATCAGAACCCGCGCACTTACTACGACACCAAACTGGCTCACTGCATTTCTGTTCTGGCCATTGAAACAAAGTTTGGGTCCAGTGGCGCCTTTAAGACCAGACTTTGTTCTGCTGCTTCGGACCAACACAGCTACCCACCTGAATCTATTTTCTGGCCATTATTTGTTTTATATAATGATTATTACTAAAATAATTGTGTCCTATAGAAGAGGGGCCCTGACCTGGATAACCCCAGGTGTCATTAGATCTCAGAAGCTAAGCAGGGCGGACATGGAGGCAGGCAATGGCAAACCATCTCTTGCCTTGAAAACCGGCCAGGGGTCATTTCCTGCGGGAGCGCACAGGAGCGGAGCTCCAGCAGTAAGGAGCCCAGGGGGCGGGCACATGCAACAAGCCCCGCCCCCTGCTCCCAGCAGCCCTCAGTCGGGCCACAAGGAGCAAGAAGCAGGCCCTGGTAAGTTGCAGAGCCCCCCCCCGCCCGCCCTCAGGTACAAGCTTTCCCTCCTCTGTGAGGGCAGATCTGCACATTTCCCTCCCCCCCCATAGATAGCAATCCAAAACAGTCCAGTGGCACCTTTAAGACCAAGTTTTATTCAGGTACAAGCTCTCCCTCCTCTACGAGGACAGATCTGCACATTTCCCTCCCCTCCCATAGCTAGCAATCCAAAACAGTCCAGTGGAGCCTGAGCAGTGGGTGTTGCCTTCTGACACACTTCCGGCGATGTCAGGGGGTGTGGCATATGCAAATAAGTTATGCTAACGAGTTATGCTAATGCGCTCCTGCACCTCTTTTTCTATGAAATGACCCCTGGAAAACCCCATGGGGTCATCATAAGTCAGCTGTGATTTAACGGCAAAAAATAAAATAGAGGAGGAGGGTGTTAAAAATTATCTACCCTGGGTGCCAAATCAGCAAGGTATGCAACTGATCCTTCCTTTGTATGGCTTTCTAGGCATAGAAGTCCTACTGTTGGCTGCTAGCGCTGCTATTCACAGAGGTTTGCGGCCCCAGTTTGGTGTAGTGGTTAGGAGCACGAACTCTCATCTGGGAGAACCAGGTTTGATTCCCCACTCCTCCATGTGCAGCCACCTGGGTGACCTTGGGTCAGTCACAAGTTGTCTCAGAGCTATTCTCTCGAGAGCAGTCCTCGAAAGAGCTCTCTCAGCCCCACCTACCTCACAGGGTATCTGTTATGGGGAGGGGAAGGGAAAGGAGATTGTAAACTGCTCTGAGACTCCTTCGGGTAGTGAAAGGCGAGGTATAAAACCCAATCTCTCTCTCTTCTATATGAAGGTTTCCTTTTGTCACCATGATTAGTACCCATTGACGGACCTGGCCAGTAACAAGCATATGCACTGAGGTCCCATTTGAAACCATCTAGATCTAGCTTTTGCCCACTCTGTTTTATTTTCATGTCCCTTCCCAATAATCCCCAGCACAGAGTGTGTGCGTCCCCCCCCCAGCACCCTCTCCGAGCCAGCATTTTCACACATCTGTCGTATGGAGATCAATTGCAGTTCTGAGAGAACAAAGTATGGGGCTAAGGTTGCCAACCTCCAGATTACAATTTAATCTCCGGACTACAGGGATAGGTCCCCTGTCTGTTCTGAAGAGGGTGGACTCTCTTATTAGCATCACATCCGAGCTAAGCTCCCCCCCCCCCAAACCATGTTTGCACTACGATAATCTTTGGAGGGTTGATTCTATGTCATGGGGATACCTCACTGAGGTCTCAACCAGTGTTCCCTCTAAACTGAGCTAGTGTGAGCTAGCTCACAGTTTTTTAGCCTCCAGCTCACACATTTTTGCCTTGGCTCAGGAAGGATGCCTCCAGAGCAAACTAATTTTATGCAGTAGCCAAATCGCTCCCTCACAACTTTAATGCCAGTAGCTCACAAAGTTGAATTTTTGCTCACAGGACTCCACAGCTTAGAGGGAGCATTGGTCCCAACCCTCCCCCAAACCCATCCTTCCCAGGCTCCACCCCCAAACGTCCAGGAATGTCCCAAGCAGGAGTTGGCAACCTAGAGGCTGGTAGGCCTATTGCACGGTTACCACCTACACGTTGGGACATTCCTGGAGATTTGGGGGTGGAGCTTGGGAAGGGTGGGGTCTGGGGAGGGGAGGGACCTCAGCAGGAGCACAATGCCATCAAGGACCCCCCCCCCAAGCAGCCATTTCCGAGTTTTCTCCAGGGGAACTGATGTTGGTGGTCTGGAGATCGGCTGGGGGATACCGGGAGGTCTCCCGGCCCTGCCGGGAGGTGGCAACCCTTACAAGGCATGGTTTGCCAGGAATAAACCTTTGCTGCCACAACCCTTCCCCAGTCCCGAGGCCGACGGCTCACCAATAGGGGCTCTCTCCGCCCGTTTCCCTGGCAACGCAACTCGGTCCCACCGCGCCTGCGCCGTGCCAGGCTGGCCGGGGCCGGAAGTACTACTACCGGAAGTGGCGGTGGGAAGCGCCCGGTTGAAGGGGCCGGGAGAGCGGCGGCGAGTGCAGCTGAGGCGGCTCGTGTTACGGGAGGGCTGTGGCGGGACCCCCTCCGGAGCCTTCGTGGTTGGCCCCCCACCCTCCGCGGGGCCCTTAAGGCGTTAGACTCGTTCGCTTCCGCCTTCTGCGCGCAGGGTTGCCAACTCCCGCTTGGGAAATGCCTGGAGATGGGTGTGTGTGTGGAGCCTGGGGAGGGGAGCTCAGCAGGGTGCTGTGGCATAGGACCCCTCCTTCCGAAGCATCCGTTTTCTCCAGGGAGGACTGGTCTCAGCTGTCTGGAGGTCGGTTGTGATCCCAGGAGCTCTCCAGGCCCCACCTGGAGGCTGGCAACCCAGTCTGCGCCAGACCCTCCCCCGGTGGGAGGGGGCGTCCTGCTCGGCGGCGGCGGCGGCGGCTGCTGCTGGAGAAAAGCGGGCAGGGTGGCGTTCGTGGCTTGCAGCGCTTAAGCCCTTAACAAGTCCCTGTTTTAGCCCCCCTGAGTCCCTGGCTGGGGGTTCCTCGGCCAGCAAAGCCCCCGATATCATCATCTCAGGAGCGGTCCTGCAGAAGCAATGCTCCCTCTAAGCTTTGGACTCTTGTGAGCAAAAATTCTACTCTGAGCCACTGGCACGAAAGTTGTGAGCGAGCGATTTTGGCCACTGCATAAACTAGTTTGCTTGGGAGCCCTCCTTCCTGAGCTAAGACAAAAATGTGTGAGCCTGAAGCTAAAAAACTGTGAGCTGGCTCACACTCAGCTTAGAGGGAACATTGGAGGGGAGGGTTGCCAGATCTCTCCCTTTTACAGCCCTTCTTTGGGGCTCTTTCCAAAAAAGCTGGTGGACATGCCCTCTTTTGGGGTTGGGGGGGCCGAGCCTGTTCGGCCCTGTAGTTCCCCAGCAGAGGCAAACTTCAGCAGCAATAGGAGGGGGGGTCTTTTAAATCAGATTTGTCAGAGTGACCCACTTGTTTGAAGTAGTTGGCGAGGAAAGGTGCCCTCCTTTTTTTGCTTTCCAGAATAGGGTAACCTTATCTTGACAGTTCCCATTTCAAGTCCCCACACTGTGGCTTCTTGCTCAGCAAAGCCCTTGCTATCTCAGGAGTGGTCATGCATAGGGTAGGATTACCAGGTGTCCTCTTTTTTTTTTTTAGAGGGCATGTCCAATGCTTCCTCTGAGCTGTGGAGTCTTGTGTGCAAGAATTCTGCTTTGTGAGCTGCTGGCATTAAAGTTGTGAGCCAGCGATTTGGCTCCTGCATAAGTTAGTTTGCTCTGGAGCCCTCCTTCCTGAGCTAAGACAAAAATGTTTGAACCAGAGGCTAAAAAACTGTGAGCTAGCTCACACTAAGTCAGCTTAGAGGACGTGTCCTCTTTTTGGGGGTGTCCGTCCTCTTTGGGGCTCCTTTAAAAAACTGTTGAAAATGTCCTTTGCGGGTTGGAAGGTACGGAATGTTCCTAATTAGCAGTGGTACTCACAGCTTCAATAGGAAGGGTCTTTAAAATGAGATTTGCCCTCATGATCACTTGTTTGAAGTAGTCGGCTGGGAAAGGTGTCTTGTTTTTTTTGCTTTTCAAAATATCTTGACAGTTCCCATTTCAATCCCCAGGCTTCCAAGGTTGGGGTCCCTTGCTCAGCAAAGCTCAGGAGTAGTTGTGCATAGGGGCACATTGAGGCCGGCAAGGCAACACTGCCCCAGTCAACAGCTAGCTTTGGGGGAGGACCGTCTTGACAGCTTGGGGTGGGGGGCAGGCCTCTGGGGGCCTATTCCTGTTTCTCGGAGTGGCCAAACTTCTTTGCTACAAACGCGTTTCTTTCATGTGTCGTTTTTCCTAATGTGGTTGGTTGCTGGGCGGGGGTGTATGTACAGGTTTGGCCCTTGGATTGCCTGTTAACATACGGGTACAAGCTAAGACTCCTTCTCCTTCTTAACGAAACAGAATATTTCATTGGACAACTACCACCAAACTACGCGAATTCCCGAAGTCGCTTGTCCCCATTTTCTTGGTGAGTACTGAGAAAAAACTTGAATAAAACCAATAATTTTCAATGTCCTGTCAAAAGTTAGAATTTTGGGGGTAGGAAATTACTAGTGTTGGTCTGGAGACATATTTTAAAGGTCCCAAAGCTAGCATAAAGCAACACAGAGGTGCTCACGCTTTGGGGTCCAGAGAGCAGCGTTGATGCACTCCAGGCCAGTATGTGCCACAAGTGGAGAACAGTTACATCTAGAGATGTACAGTTTCCAGAAATCTTGAAGCTTTAGCACACCCATTTTAATTTCCGTCATGTGGAAGATAACAAAACATTCACTTAAGCACTACACCAAACTGGCTCTCTTTGGACAGAAATTATCCTACAGTCATAGGTAGGACAAGCCGTATATTTGGATATGAGTTTAAAGTATAAAACTGAAAACACTGAACTCTTAAATAACGTATTTTCAAACAATTGTTGCAACAACATTTTATGAACAGTTAACACATCTTTGAAAATATGGATATGATTACAGTATATGTAAGAATTATTATACCTTAGGTTGTCTCAATAGAGAAATTTCCACACTGCATATTTTAAATGAGCAAAATCTCTTAAAATGGATTTTGCTCATTTCAAAAGAGAATGTGTTTTGTAAGATCTTTTTTTAAAAAAATCTTGCTCAAAATGTTATGATTTTCCCATCAGAGAAATGGGGGAAGGGCTGGGGAAGATCCCCCCCTCCGATTTTTTCTGTGTCTTTTTTCCCTGGTTGCATCACTGAAAGATGCAGAGTAAGTAGACTCAAGTAGCTATATTCTTTGGGTACCTTCATGTCTGAGATCTCAAGAGACTGGGCTCGCCTGGATTATCCAGGTCAGGGTGCAGAAGCCGCTGTGGTGGTGGAAAGTGCCGTCCAGTCACAGCCGATTCATGGCAACCTCATAGGGTTTTCACAGCAAGTGATGTTCAGAGGTGGTTTTGCAGTTGCCTGCCTGCATCAGGACCCTGGTATTCCTTGGTGGCCTCTTATCCAAAAGGAGCCAGGGCTAACCCTGCTTAGCTTCCGAGATCTGACAAGGCCGGGCTAGCTTGGGTTATCCAAGTCAGGGTTCACAAGCTGTAGGCCGCTGAATATATGCTTGGGCTGTTAAAAGGCCTGGGCAAGACACGACTATTATAGGTTTTTTCAGGAATTGCATTTTGTTGGTGTTTAGCTTTTTGTGGGAAGTGGCCTTTCCAGTGTAGTGTACCTTTGTGTAAATCTTTCATAAATGCCGTGGAATTTATACCTAGATGTGTGAGTGAAGAAATACTCCATATTTGGAGAGCAATCCTAAGCAGGTCTACTCAGAAGCAAGCCTCATGTTATTCATTGGGGCTTACTCCCAGGAAAGTAGACTGGGATTGCAGACTTAGTCGCTGAAAAGAAAGCTTCCGTATATGACACGTCATTTCTTTTAAACAATGTCTTGTCCTTTTTCCTCCAACTTTAGAGTTCATTAAGTATGGACGTAACACCGTGACTCCGCCCTTTGCATCAAACGCCAAAAATTTCTTCAGCTTTCTCATCGCTGTGCTTCAGCCAACATGGTAAGATTTTCTCCTTTTGTTTTTCCAGACTTGTACTTTTGATATAAGTGGAGGGGTACAGCAAGGAGGAGGAAAAAATATTAGTACGTTGGCCATTGGCATCTTTTGCCATTAGATTTTGCTTCGTGGGGACAGTTTCTCCAGATGGCAGCAGAACCCTTGCTCTGTCGTTAAGGAACAGAGGAGACGGGGGTACTGGTGTGCACAAGTACCCTTTCTTGAGCCTTTTCTTGCGGCTTCTCCCTTTCCTAACGAACACTGAACAGCAACATAAGCATGTTCAGCAGTTCTGTATAGCTTAGTGGCACCCGTGGCTGCCATGGCGCCTCCTGGGAGACAGGGCTTGTTCTTGGCTGTTCTCATGCAAATTAAGGGGTTTTCCACAGCTCCATGGCTGCAGCAACAGCCCCTGAAGGCTCAGGAGGACTGATAAGCAGTCTTATCCAAAAGGAGCCAGGGCTAACCCTGCTTAGCTTCCGAGATCTGACAAGCAGCTTGTGGTTCCATTCCTCCTTCAGATTTTCCTTCTTTTTATTCCCCCTCATTCTCTCTTCCTCCCTTGCGGGTTTACTTTCTGTTCCCATTGTGCAGTGCTTTTGCAAAATGAGGAAGGAGGTCTTGTGTTTGGCTCTTCCTCCCATGGCAGCCATTTTGGGTCTGGCTCCACCCCCTTGGTCAGCCATTTTAGGCTGGTGCTCGCCACCCCCTCTCATATTTCCAAAGGTACCCACAGGTAAATTAAAGGGGGAGATGGGCAGCAGTGGAAATTTTCATAGTCAGGATCTGCAGGTATCACATCACCTTCTGCCTTGAATGTATGAAACTGTCCTATACAGCATCGGACCGCCTTCCTCAGTCTCCTCTGCTGTGACTAGCAGAGGCTTCCTAACAGATGAAGGGCCCTGCTGGATCTTCTCCCTGAGATCTCTTAACTGGAGATAACAGGAATTGAACAAAACACATGCTTTGCTGCTGTCTCCATCACCTTGAGGCTGTAAATAGTTCTAGTTTTCAAAGCCCAGTCGACAAGTTATTCCTTCTGGATATTAAGAAGCTATGTGGGGGCGATTTAGTTGTGTACATCACCATGTTTAAGAAATCCAGTGCCTCCTTTTTCTCCTTCCTCTCTTGGAAGGGAGTGCACTACTCCTGTCTTAGTGGTTAAGTCAGGGGTGTCGAACTCATTTGTTATGAGGGCCAGATCTGACAAAAATGAGACCTTGTTGGGCCGGGCCACGTGTGTCATGTAATGCCAGGTAGCAGAGAGATAAACTTTATAAAGGACACAAACACAAAGGGTTTTGTTTAACTTAAAATAAAAACATGCTTAAAACATTAGCACTCTGGAATATTTTGTTTATTTAACAGTGTCTGATAACTGACACCTCTTGCTCTCAATGATTGCATCAAAATATGTGTGCTATTGCAATCTTGAGTATGCCGTTCAGGTGTGTTATTTGTAAGCTGCAAACCTACGATGACGCAGCAGCAGCAGAACTGGAAGAAGAAGCAGAAGACAGCCAGTTCCACTTTGGGCCTGATAGAAGCCCTCCGGGGGCCTGATCCGGCCCCTGGGCCGCATGTTTGACACCCTTGTGTTGTGTTAAATTTAAAGCTAACCAGGGACCTGGTTAATCATAATCTGAAACCATCTTTACCCAGCATTTAAAACCATTATTTTTATTTTTTGCTTCAAATCATTTTTAAACAGGAGTCTGGTTGGCCTTAACAGTCAATGTCAGTCGAATGACTGCAATGAAATGGGAATTTGCTCCACCAGCCCTGGACTGGGTGATTGTGTAGCAGCGGTCTTAGACTGGCGTAACTCCGCATAGGATTGCATTTACAGGCCCTCAGTCTGCATTGATGTATAGTATAAAGATTTTCCACATATAGATTATACTTTCATTTTGCCCAATTGATTTTTTCTGCTTGCAATTTGTGGTATAGATAAATATTAATGTGAATATTGTCTAATGTAAACTATAGTCTGAGCTAGGGTTACTGTGGATGATGCGTTACATATACCCAGGTCCTAGCTCAGAAATAGATGGATTTTAATGGGTTTTGCTTCCAGATTCAGGAGTACAGTTGTATGTATGTATGTATGTATGGATGGATGGATGGATGGATGGATGTATGTATTTGGTTCAATCTGTATCCCGCCCTCCCCACAAGCGGGCTCAGGGCGAGTTCCATCATAAAAAATCCACAATATAGCAATATAACAAATCGACAATTAAAATATAATTACAATCTATCTAAAAATCTATCTAAAGACAAGTGAAGGTAAAGGTTTCCTTTGCTTGAAAGCCAGTCAGATCCAACTCTAGGGTTGCGGTGCTCATCTCCGTTTCCAAGCCGAAGAGCCAGCGCTGCCCAAAGACATTTCCATGGTCATGTGGCCGGTGTGACTAGACACCAAGGCGCACGGAACGCCTAAAGACAACGTCAGTATAAAAACCCAGTGCCTCAACAGGTCTTGGCAAGAAGCAGTTGGTTCCCAGATGGCCACTGTAGAGTATTAAGGTACTCTCCAGAACACATATTTTTCAACTGCATATACCATAGGGTGATCCATATGGAGACTATTAGTCTGCTGTTAGAAAGGTTTCCTGGCAGATCAAATAAAATTAAACTTGATTACCTCCTGTCTGACAGGAACCACTGGACAACAAGACAGGTGGCTAGATTTTGTGCCCAAATTTACAAGGAGCGTAAAATGCATGGCAGTTAGATTTTTCAGTCTTTTATCTAGATTATACACAAATTTTATGGCTGTCTTATTTTATCTCTTTGTTATAGTCACAGTTTTTAAAATTTAAGTATGCCACTGTTGGTTTTATCTCACATTTATTATTCATATGTTTTCACGTGAAATGATTTAGTGCACTGGTCGTCGACTGTAACAATAAATTTGACTTGAGTTGAGTATTAAGGTGTTTTAATTACTGTATTCATTACTGCAGAGTATTAAGGTGTTTGCTTGTATTGATGAGAACCTTTTGCTTGCTAAATCATTAATCCCTAATCATTAATCATTGCTTTTGCTTGCTAAATTATTAATCCCTAATCATTAATCCCTAACCATTGGTCATTGGACAAAAGTACAAAAATCCGTAGACCTGGAGAATCAAATAACATGTTTTCTAAAGGAGACCTTTCTCATTCTTGCAGCAGCAAGTTTTAGAAATGGCCCTGGATCGCGCCGAGGTATGTAGTCAACAAATCTGTCTGAATGTCTTTATTTCAAAGATTTATCCATTTCTGATCTTCGGGGCCGCTTAGAGCATCAGGAGGACAGCATTGGGGGGTGGGGTGGAATCCTTGCAGGCAGGGGCTTAACGGAGCCGCCCTCCTCCTTCCATGCCGATGGGCAGAGAGCAAGGCTTCCCTGGTATCTGCCTCACAGGGTGTCTGTTGTGGGGTGGGGAAGGGAAAGGAGATCAGAAGCCCCTCCGAGACTCCTTCGGGTAGTGAAGGGCGGGGTATAAATCCAGGGGTCATTTCGTAGAAAAAGAGGTGCAGGAGCTCATTTGCATAGCTCATTTGCAGATGCCATACACCCTGACAAAAGGCAGGCATGCAAGCATGCCTGGGTTCCCTGCCTGATCTTCTCAAGATCGGGCACAGAACCCAGGCATGTTTAAAATGCCTTTCTTTCCTTTCCCCAGATGGGAAAAGGAAAGAAAGGCATTTTAACCCCCCCCCGGGGCTGGGGGGGGGGCCTCTGGTGCGTTCCGGCAGGAAATGACCCCTGTATAAATCCAATCTCTTTTCTTCTTCTTCAGAACCTATAGTGCAATGCATAACAATACAAAAGGGTTCCCAAGCAGAACTCTGGGGAAGGGGCATGAAAACCCTCCTCAGCACCTTCGCTATTCATGAAGGAGCTCCCTTGAGTGCGTCACGTTGACTTTGGCCGTAGTGTTCTCATGAACAATAAAAGTTCCAAGTCGGCTGAAATTCAGATTTGGAATGTTAAAAGAATTCTTGATCATGAGTGATTTAAGGAAGCACCAGTATACATGAAATAAGCCATATCATCCATCCCCTATTAAGTTCTTGGCGCTTGTGGTAGATCTTCATCACTCATGAATTGCCTCAGCTGCTGCAAGGAAAAAAGCCGACTGCCTCCTAGATATAAACTCACTAGCCATTTCTCACTCTACAAACGTTGGGTTAAAGAAGAATGTTTTGGCGTATCGTTTTTGCTATGGTAGGAAAAAAATCCTAGCAAACGTTAATCATTTCCGCAAACCAGTTAGGTCTCTGAACGTTCGTCTAAAATGCGTGCTGGTGTCTCTTCCCATGAGGTTGTCATAACACTGCAGTGAACACGTTGTAAGCGCCGCAGCTAAAATATGCTTACTGAATTGGAATCATAGTAAAAGAGCGCTCTCTAATTGTGTTTTTGCTAACTTTATTACTCCATCAAGCTCGAACACACACATCATCATAAGGCTGCCATGCCTTCTGAAGATATCCGAAGGTGGGGGATTGAAGACAGTCCCCTTGTCATGGGCAGATCACTGTTTGCTGGGTTTTATGCTTTTAAACGTCATTTCTAGTTGTACAAATGTTTTAACGTTGTTTATTTCTTTATTTTATACCCCGCCCTACTCCCCAAAAATGGGCTTTGGGTGGCTTATAACAAAATTCTACCCTGGGAAGAGTCCATCACACACACACATACCCCTGGGTCAGTTCAGATCTTCTAGCCAATTGGCCGTTTCCCTCTCTGTCACTTTGGGTGTCACCTACCAGCAGGGTGCAGCGTGGTAGACTGTTGTTCTGCTTCAGCCAGAGGCATTAGCATAAGCAAGAACTTACATTCATCACCTGGGGGACCATGGAAAGGTGGCATAAAATCATTCCAAGTAAATAAAGTATTTTCCAGTTTGTGGACTTCTCAGTGTGTTTGTGGACTTTTTCCCTTTGTCCAGTACATCATCGAAAGTGCTCGTCAGAGGCCTCCCAAACGGAAATATTTATCCAGTGGAAGGTAGGATGTGTTGAATGCTTTTTCCAGAAGGGTGGCTAAGTCCTATAATCAAGAGTCTCGTGGCACTTTCGAGACTAACAGCTCAATTGATATATAAGCTGCTGTGAACCAGAAACCCCTGAATATAACTCATTTGTTATATTTAAAAAAAAAAAAACTCATTTGTTATGAGGGCTGGATCTGACATAAATGAGAACTTGTTGGGCCGGGCCACGTGTGTCATGAAATGTAATGCCAGGTAGCAGAGATATAAACTTTATAAAGGACACAGACACAAAGGAATTTTTTTTACTTAAAAACCTGCTTAAAACATTAGCACTCTTGCAATATTTTATTTAACAGTGTCTGATAACTGACACCTCTTGCTCTCAATGATTGCATCAAAATGTTTGTGCTGTTGCAATCTTGGGTATGCTGTTCAGGTGTGTATCTGTAAGCTGCAAACCTATGATGACGCAGCAGCAGCAGAACTGGAAGCAGCAGCAGAAGACAGCCAGTTCCACTGCGGGCCTGAGAGAAGCCCTCCGGGGGGCCTAATCCAGCCCCCGGGCCACATGTTTAACACCCCTGGTGTGATACATTCAAAAGGTGTAAGGATGAGCGAGTGCTTTCCTTTCCCTGTTGAGCTTGATAGCCCTCAAATCAGCAGACGTTCAGCAGTTTGTTCCTGAAATATTACAACGGCAGATGCTTCAAAAGGAGACGTCGACAAAAAGCCGCCCACTTATGCGTACATTTGATACTGTCGGACATGGACTCGTTCGGGACTTGAGGTGCTGGTTTGCTCACCTCAGAAATCAATTATTCCCACCTTACATCTTTAGGGACCCTATTCAGATTCATCAGCTTCACTGTTTCATTAACAGTTACTCCACACCACCGCCCCCCCCCCCCCGAATGGAAATGTTCTGCTTTTATTTGCTCTGCAGTGTAACTTAACAGAACGGTATCTTGGAAAACTGAGCCTTTCCACATCAATTTGTAATAGCTTTACCCCACTTATGGTCACCCCAGACTGCTTTGTGTCTCTGCTGCGTGTCTGGCAAACAAACTTCACACTTTTTGTGTCTGACAGAGTGGCGCCTGGCCAGGGGTCATTTTGTAGAAAAAGAGGTGCAGGAGCTCATTAGCATAGCTCATTAGCCTAACTTATTTGCATATGCCACACCCCCTGACATCACCGGAAGTGTGTCAGAAGGCAACACCCACCACTCAGGCGCCACTGGACTGTTTTGGATTGCTAGCTATTGGGGGGGGGGGGCGGGGGAGGGGAAT